TAGCAATGTTGAAAATGATGGCCTTTTTAAGAATGAACAAGAAATGCTCCAGAGACAATAAAGAATAGTTGACACTCATTGCAGCATGTATTTAAGGGCTGTTCTTTTCATCAGGAAGGGGAATTGGTTAGAAAGTGGACACAGCAGACTGGAGTTTGTCTGAGCATCATAGAGTTGTACAGGATGGAAACAGACCCTTTGGTCCAAATTGTTCATGCTGACTAGATATCCTAAATTAACCTAGTCCCATTTGCCAGCATTTGGCCCATATCCCTCTAAGGCCTTCCTATTCATGCACCCATCTTTTAAATGTTGTAATTGTGTCAGCCCCCACCGTTTCCTCTGGCAGCTCATTCCATACACGCACCATCTTGCATGTGAAGAAGTTGCCCTGTAGGTCCCTTTTAAATCTTACCCTTCTCACCTTAAACCTAAGCCCTCTATTTTAGACACCCCTACCCTGGGGGGAAAAAATAATCTTGGTTATTCACCTTATCCATGCCCTCTTGATTTTATAAACCTCTGTAAGGGCACCCCTCAGCCTCCGACACTTCAGAGAAAATAACCCCAGCCTATTCAGCCTCTCCCTATACCCTGGCAACATCCTGGTAAATATTTTCTGAACCCTTTCAAGTTTAACAATATCTTTTCTAAAGCATGGAGACCAGAATTGAATGCAGTATTGCAAAAGTGACCTAACCAATGTCCTGTACAGCCGCAACATGACCTCCCAACTCCTATGCTCCATGCACTGATCAATAAAGGCAAGCATACTAAACACCTTCTTCACTATCCTGTCTACCCATGTCTCCACTTTAAAAGGAAATATGTACCTGTACTCTAAAGTTCCCTTTGTTCAGCAACACTCCCCAGGATCTACCATTAAGTGTATTAAGTACTGATCTATGAAATGTAAATAAAGTCATAGCAGACATACTGACTCCATTTACCTGCTTTGATAAATGGATAACAAACAGTACTTCAAGGCCTACAAGCTATGAGTAATTCATCTACCATTTACATGATAGCTAATGCAGGCAAGCCAAGCAAATAATGCAGGTGTTGTGGCCTCACAAGCATGCCTAGAAAATGTCCAGCTTTTAACATAGTTTGCAAGGTACGTGGTGCCCAAAAACACTGACAGCTGCAATCTAGAGACAAAAGGCCTAACAAGTGGTGCAACATCATGAGAATCCAGAGGCCAGACAAGTACAGCATTTTCACCAAATGACAGAGTGAACCAACAGCACGAAGACAAAATCTAGTCAAGTGTCATGGTCGGATTAGGAGGATGATCAGACAATTGACAGGTAAAGTGAGGTGACATTCACCACACCAGCTAACAAAAAAAAATGCACTGATGCAATAGTACAATAGAAGCCTTTGCCACCATCCAGACAATATACCGTCAGATAAAAGGTCAACATAATCTATATATAAAACTGGATACCAATGCAGCTATGATCATCCTTCCACTTCTGTAAGTACATACATTGTGACAAATGATGACCTAACCAACTAATGTCAAACTCACCATGAAAAGTGAGATGAAAATTTCATCCCTGGGATCCATCACAATTAAATTTCACCAATAGATTTTGTTGTGGACTCTGGCGTTCCAAGTGATTGCAAGCCTGCTGGCATGAAAAAACATATCCTTTGGCACCATCCATGGTATGGTCAAGACAGTGACAATATCGACAACACAACCAGCAGCACCATTTCACTGACACCTCATCTGGGAGAAGATCAAAGAAAGATAAAATAGGACGGGTAGGCCATTCAGCCCATTGTGTGCCCTCCTCCATTCAATATAACCATGACTGTTCCTCTCTCTCAATGCCCTTGTCTCACTCCCTCCCCACCCCCTCCAGAAGTTCATCTATTTCTTTCTTAAACATACTCAGTGACTTGGCCTCCACAACTTGTCACTGCCTTCCATTCACAAAATGACCCATAATTTCCAACTGTCTATTTCCAATCTGCTAACCAATTTTCAATCCAAGCCAGTATATTACTATCAATTCCACATGTCTTGATTTTTCACACCAACCTCTTACGTAGGAATTTATCATCAAGCTTTCTGAAAATAAAAATACAACACATTCATGGGTTCTTCCTCATCTATTTGACTCGTTACATCCTCAAAAAAGCTCTAGCAGGTTTGTCAAACGTGATTTCCCTTTTATAAATTCATGTTAACTTTCTGTAATACATTCGGTATTTTCTAAGTGTCCTGTTATTATATCCTTTATAATAGACTAAAGAATTTTCCCTGTTACTGATATTAAGCTATCTGGACTGTAATTCCCAGTTTTCTCTTTCTGTCTTTTTTAACATCAATCTGCTGGGACTGTTGCAGAATCTACAGAGTATTGGAAGCTAATAACCAACACATCCACTATTTCCATTAGTACTCTGATCATCTAAAGATTCATGTAGGTCATCAATCAACAGACCACATTGTACGATTTGAACTGAAGATGTACAACTATTCTGAACGTGCAGGCTTCATATGTAGAACCAATACAAAATGGCTATTTGTCAGACAAATGCAGAAAAACTTGCACAATCATTATTCATTGATTTGACCTGAACTATGTGATGCATTACTTGAAAAACATGGAAAAGTGGAGGATACCCATGAGCTGCATAATGAATTAGCCAAAGTTAGGTTCAACTGGATAGCTTGAGTACAACATCCAAATGACAGCATGCAGAATCCAATAGAAATAATCAGCATTTGCCCACAACCATAACTGTATCAAGTACCAACAGTAAATGGCATTGCAGTGTAACAAAACATGCCAAAACAGGACAATGTCAGAGTCAGAAACACCAAGTAACCCTAAATGTCTAGAACACGATATAACACAAAGTAACTCTAACTAGCATTTGAATATAGCAGCCTCCAACAAAGGTCACATAACTAAATTTGGACAAATAAGAAAACCACAGATATGTTTACCGCAATTTATTTATTTATGGTAAAGCATATTCAAACACAATATTATTTCCTTTTGCCTTCATGTAGAGACATTGATTCTTTAAGGGCAAACCTTTTGTTTGGAATAAAAGGGGCAGGTTGTGATATGAGGTGCATATACTTTTGAGTAAATGTATCTTTAATCATTATACATTGAGAGGATATGATATATTGGCTCCCAATTATGAGGCTAAACTGTGAAATAGCTCGACAGAAGTCAAACATATGGCCCATGTCCTCCCAGTGAACATTATCTGTAAGTATGCTTATCCTTAAATAAAGAAACTGCATTATTGTTTCACCAGTACTTGTATATAATTAGTCATCTACATCAAATGAGAAGATCACATTCAGGATATAATTACTTAAAACTGCAGTCGGCTTTGAAGGGACTTTGGTTCCTTGCTGACCTAGATAAGCATTTTACTTGTAACAAAAACATAATTCAGTTCAGAGTTTCTCCAAAATTAATCACATAGCTTCAAACATGCATCCATAACAACACCAAATTGCAATAGTTATGTTGACATCTTTACCCACAGTTTGGGTTGTTGTACAAAGTACAACATTTTTATTCTACCTATTCAGAGATACGTTATGGTAGTGCGGAACTTCAATATACTGATAAATGAGACATATTGCCAATTCTTTTCATCTTGCACTCATCTGGACAAAGACAAGAAAGCCAAATGTCAAACAATCACAACATGTTATACTACAGGAGAAAAGGCTGCTGTTAGTCAGTTGATTGGCACTATATGTGCACAAATGGATGGTGTAGCTATGGGATCCCCTCTAGATCTAGTGTTCATTAAAATTTTTATCAGTTTCCATGAGAAATACATTTTCAACGTAATGACAGTAATCTCCTACCACATGCATTTTGATATGCAGATTATATTTTTGCAATTTTTGAATCTGCCTTACAAACCTCAAGGTTCAGTTAACTCAGTCTGTGGGAAGGCTGGTTTGTGATGCAGAGTGATACCAATAGCACAGGTTCAATTCCCACACCAGCTCAGGTTAGCATGAAGGTCCTTCCTTAAAACCTCTCCCCTCGCCTGGCATGGTGATCGTCAGGCTGAACTACTGCCAGTTGTCTCTTTCTAATGAGAAAGCAGCCCTATGATCCTTTGGAAATATGGAGACTTTACCCTTTTACATTCTGTGCTGAAATTCGCTTTTGAGATGAAGTATAAATAACACTTTAACATGCCTTCACTTGTTATTGAAAAATTTGCTCATGTTTTTTCTACTGTTGTCTACTACAAGACTACTTTCACCAGTCGATGTCCATAGTGGGATTCGTATATCTTCATATACTACAAAATTAACCTCAGCAGCAATCTTGTAAAAATATGCAAAAATATATTCATGCTATTAAGTAGTGAGAACATGAGAAGTGACATGTGCATAAGCAATCTGATGTGGAGCTCAGGCATTCACACCATGAGCAATATATCTCTGCAATCAAAGTGATATGGTTCAAAATGCATGTTTCACAAAAGTTAGTTGAGGTAACAGATTTAATATTAGGGCTTTCAACAGATTCTAATAATATTATAAATTAGCATACCATAATAGAATATAATGACCATTCATTTGCAAAGATGCCAAAATGCATCCAACCTTGTTTGCTTCCCTTATATAAATCTTATCTTCCAGGAGTTCAAATGATTGATTTATATATGTAAAATATACATAAAGGAACTAACTGTTAGGCATTGATGCCACCAATTGAGATCACTCAGCAAGCCATTAATACAACTTTTCAAAATAAAACTGTGAAGACTTTTATGGGTGTACAATCTTTTCAGCTCAAGTAGATACATCAGCTAATCACAAGTAATCCTATACACCCAAGTGTAACAAGTGAAAAATCTCCACTAACGTCTCAACTCATTTTGTTCTTGCCTAGAAAATATACTTTTTCTTCTTTATGAACTCTAGAACCTTAACTTTCCCCAGAAGGCATTACCGCATGTCAATATTAGCAATAAAGAACAATCATTACCTTGTTTTGTGCTTTTCAGTCAAAACCTCAATGCTTTCATCAGTGAGCTGGCATCCATTGACAAAGAGCCTGTGAAGACTACAACAAGCGCATGACTTGTATTCTGAATGGTATTTGTACACACACAAAGCAGAACATTTGTTGCTATTTTGAAATTCTAAACATAGAACAAATAACAATTGTTGGCTATTTTTTAATTTTTTCATGGGATGTGGACACCCTTGCAAGACCAGAATCTGTTACTCAACCCTATTATTCTTTTAGCTGGACCGCACATGCCTGATGTTTTTCCATAAGTGTTGAAGGAGGAAAGCAGAGTATATGCTACAGTACCATTTCTTTGAATTTCAAGAAAGCAATAAACACACTTATGTTTAAAGAGAAAGCTAGAAAAAGCAAAATAATAAATTTTATCTTTACAATTATTGGAACAAGGGATCCATGTTGAAATAATCTTCTGATATTTAATGCTGGCTTGAAATTTCTTTTAATACTGTATTTTGTGACCTGGGTTATTTTTGTTTTGTTGACCCAAAGATTGATTTATAGTATGAGGGTAAGCCAAAGAAATGCAGTTTAAAAGAAGATGTGATGAGTGTTTTGGATTTGATTCCAAAATGTGAGGCCCAACCAGAGCTTCTACTTGGCAAACATCAGGAGTAATTAAGATAAAATTATTAAAAGATTGGGGGAAGTTGAGATTTTGACATAAACTTCATTAGGATTCAATGCTTTTTTTTTATAAGGGTCAATAATCTTACTCAAGTATTTGGGCAAAAAATTATATCAGATAATTATTTTTAAATATTATGGATAAAAATTTCAATTTTTTATGTTTTTGTGCAAGTGCTGGGAGCATAGCGTAAACACCCAATCCTGTTTTTGTGCCCCAGTCTCAGAAACAGCAGGAGAAAGGTAATCTGAAAAATGATAAGACAACATAATAACATTCTTTCATTTAAAAAAACTACAGAAGAAATTATATTTTGGATGGAGTTTTACAAAAAAACACTCACATTTTAGCAATATTTTCTGGGATATTTTGATTATAAGAGAAAACTCTCTCTTTAAAATCTGATTGTGAAAATAGTTAGAAATAAATTCTACTTCCACCTATCACTAGGAGAGTTAATGGAATTCAGAGCAAAGTCCATACCATGAAGAAGCTTGAGCAAGAGCTATGATGCCTCTGCTGGTAGCTGCTGTCCAACTGACATCCACTGAAGTTAACTTGAGACAAACTGCACTTGCACAGAGTAGAATTGTGTCACCTGTCAGCATCGGCCCACTGCAGCTTGTAACATTCAGCTCCTGTATTTTGAGAAATGTCGGTTTTCAATTATGAACCTGAATTAGTTTACCATTCAATTCAAAATATGCACAATTTGATTTGTTTCTGTAGATATTTTTCTGACTTAACTTACTGCATTGGTTATAACTTAAAGGGTCTAAACATTTATAACACCAGAAGGATCATAACATGCTGCGTGATTTCCTTGTTAGATAAAACTGTTTATCCTGTCTGTCAGCACAGTTTAAATGAACACCATTTTGTTTGACTGAATGGCACAGAAGGGCAACCTTCTGCCAAAATATTTTATTTCTGTCCAACCAGTCTTAACTGTCTCGAAGCAATTTTATTCCGCATTCTGGCAGAGTCTTTGTCTCACTTCAAGGCTCCTTACAGAAGTGCCAGAGGATGCAGTTGGCAGCCTACAAGCAGAAGAACTGCAATTACTGGCATAGCCAATTAGACAAGAAGAGCAAGTGCCCCAGCCAATCCGACAGGAGGGGTGGCAGGAAGTTAGAGCCCCATCATTACCTCAAAGGGTTGAATGTCTGAGTGCCACATTTGGATGCCTTATAGACAGCCATCCATTCCTTGACATTCAACAAGATCAGCCTAATACATGGTCGACTCCTCCATCACTCCTAACACTTCCTTACTGTCACCTTCCCTTGCAATCACAGAAGGTGCAACACTTGCCCATTCACCATCTCCCTCCTTACTGTCCAAAGTTCCAAATGCACCTTCTAGGTCAAGCAGCATTTTACTTCTACTTCTTTCAATGTGGTCTACTGGATTTGCCGTTCACAATGTGATATAACTTACATTGGTGAGATCAAACACAGACCGGATAACTGCTTTACAGAACACCTCCACTCTGTCTGTAGGAATGACTCCAACTTTCCAGTTGCTTGCTACTTCGAAAACCTGTCTTGCTCTCAGGCTAACATTTTTCTCATGAACCTAATGGAAAGTTCCAATGAAGCACTACGCAAACTCATGCACCAACATATCATTTTCCACTTAAGCACTTTACAGCCTCTAGAACACAATGTTGACTTTCACAACTTTAGAACCTGACCACATGACATCTGTTCTCCAATTTTATGTTCTTGCCCCACCCTTGGTTTTGTCTTCTATTTGTTGTTTATTATGCTCTCAATAAAGAAGACGTTTTTTCTCCATTTCACCCCTTAACTTGCATCCATTTTCCATTTCTATTGTTATATCAACACAATGAACAACCGTTTTGTTATTTGCATTAGGTCTTCACACTGTCTGTCCCTCTCCTTCTTCCCTCACTTCTGTCTTCCAATCCCTTTCAGTTCTGAAGTCATACCAGGCTTGGAACATTAACACCAGCATTCCCTGTGTTTGTTTCAATATGAGTCAGAGTTTATAATCTCTAGATCTGTTGGCATTTACACAAGAGACATTTCATGAGAAGATGGAAGTCTTGCACAGACCTCATTCTGACTGGAACCTAAATGCAATACGAATGTGGCAGGCCTGCCTGGTGCATTGCTCCATTATCTAGCCTACCATCAATGACACTTGACACAATTTCCATCATCCTTGACCAACTCTCAATTACCCAAGAGCTTCCCTTCCTCAACCATCATTCAGAATCTGGAAACCCTGGATTCCAGTTAAAGCCATTCATCATCTTTAACCCACCCTCTATCATGTTGATGGATTCTTTTACTGAACACAAAGGACCCTAATATTATGTATGTCTGAAGGCATGGACATTTCCTCAGCTTCTTCCCTCTGGCCCCTGCTAGAGTTATTTCCCCTTTACACATGAAATCCTGATATGTTTCTGTGCCTTCCTTCATGTTTGCACAAAACATTACAACTTTAGTGATAATTGATATGGACTATGTTGAAAGGTTACCTGTGGCTTTTTCTTCGTATGTTAGCAATGATTTTTGATATGGCATAGTTTGCCATAATTTAAAGAGGCAGGGACTGCCCTACAGCTTTACCTTCTACACTCAACATAGAAGATTGGTTTACCACTTTTCCCATAGGATCTATTTTCTTTTTTGCTGTCTTCCTTTTCTCTTTTCCCTGCTTATACAGAATTTTTGATATGCTATTTTTCAAAGGTCTGTGAGTCAATTCATAATCCTTTGCCTGCACAGCAACTGTTCTTGTTGAGGTAACCACTTGTTCCTCAAGGTGCATTTTAATATTGGAGGGAAATTCACACATGGTGACGTTCCCATGTATCTGCTGCCCTTGTCCTTCGGATCGAAGTGGTCATTGGTGTGGAATGTGCCATCTAAGCAAGCTTGGTATTTGATGCATCTTGTAGATGGTACACACTGCTGTTACTAAGTGTTGATGGTAGAGGGAGTGGATGTTTGTGAATGCAGTGCCAGTCAATTAGACTGCTTTGTCCTGGATGGTATCAAGCTTTTTGAGTGTTGTTAGAGTTGCACTCATCCAGGCAAGAGGGGAGTATTCCATCACATTCCTGATTTGTGCGTTGGAGATGGTAAGTGAGCTGTAGGGAGTCAGGACAGGATTTGCTTACTGCAAATTCTAGCCTCTGACCTGCTCTTGTAGCCACCATAGTTATACGGCTAGTATAGTTTAGTTTCTGGTCAATGTTAATAGTGGGGGATTCAGTGATGGTAATTCCAGTGAATGTCAAGGTACAATGGTTAGATTCTCTTACATTGGAGATGCTCATTGCCTGGTGTGAATTTTATTTGGCACTTTTCAGCCCCAGCCTGGATATTGTCCAGGTCTTGTTACATATGGCCATGGACGGCAGTCACAAATGGTGCTAAACTTGGTGAAATCATCACCAAATAACACCACTTCTGACCTTACGATGGATGGAAGGTCTTTGATGAAGTATCCGAAGTTGCTTGGGTCTGAGACATTATTCCGAGGAATTCCTGCAGAGATGACATGGACCTGAGATGTTCGACCTCCAACAAGCACAACCATCTTCCTTTGTGCCAGAGATGATGTCAACGAATGGAGACCTTCCCTGCTATCCCCTTCCCCCCACCAATTCAATTGACTCTAGTTTTGCTGGAGTTCCTCAATGCCACAATGTATATTACTTGGGCATTTTTTTCTAGAAACAACCTTCAATCTTATAGGTGTTTTATTATATCATCATGGCTGTATGGCTGGTCATTGTTTACAGATGTGAGATTTTAATGTTCTACAATGCTGAAAATGATTCTTAGTATCAGCCTGCTGAAGACAATAATGTTTAAACTCTTGCAGTTTTAATATTACTATTTCAATTTGAAGCAATGCTGTATCTTAAGAATTATTTTCTCCAAGAGATCCAATCATTTGTCTTGTTGGTCCATTTCATGCAAAAATCTTTATTAAATATTATTTTAACTTCTATTTCTTCTTAATGTGTTCATTAATTTTTATTGCTTTAAAGTTGTTTTAAATCTGTAACATCTCAATTCATATTTTGCCGTCTTCAACCTTGTATTTGTGCATTAAATCAATGCTCTTAAATTCTGTGCCTTTAAAAACTTTCAGACATGGTTTCAAACTCACTTGTACAACAATGCTGCACAAAATTCTTCAAATGCAGCTTTAAATCCAGTTAAGTGGAAAAACTACACTGGGTTACTTCTTTCCAGTTTCAAATTGCGCTAAATGACAATACTATATCGCTGTTCAGCCACCCTGGGGGTCACACCTTTTACAGCCGAAGCAGAGCATTCCTGCTTCTTCAGGATAAAATGGATGATTGCCTGTTTTTCATACCTCAGTCACAAAATTACAGCCTTAATTCTGAGTGTCCTGACTTTTCAGAAGTGTTACAATTCTTCTAACTTTCTTCTTCTGTTAGACATATTCTTCAGTGTTTAAAACTTTTCCCCCTTATGGCCTTAAACAAATTCAGTAGCCTTTACAATGCTGCAGCCATCATATAAAATATTTTTCTGGTCCTTAATCTGTCTACAGCAGGTGATTCTCATGGAGCCCACTCTTGATAGCAACAAAGCTAGTTTTGAGAATTGAGAATTCTCTTTTTATTCCTTTTCCTTCTCTGTCTGATCTTTGATTAATACATGCTATTATAACCAGACATCCATGACAGCTCAATAAGATAATACAGTCATCATTTGCATGCTCTATTTATCAACGAAACCTGGAGAGAAAAAGTAATGACTCGGCAATGCTACCAAAACAAGTAATAATTATGACATTTTTAAAAAATTGATCATTCTTTCAAGATGCTTCTTCAACAATTGCAGCTTTCAATTTAAATTGACAGAACAACTCAAAAATCAAAACATTATGGGGATCACCTTTTGTTTTAAAAAACTCTCTAACTTTCTCACATATTTGATTTGAGTGCAGCAATGCCACTCTATTCTTCAGTCTTTAATCAGCCTACATATTTAACTCCCTCATCCTTCATACACATTATTTATCTTTCCCTAATGCTCTTTCTTAACTTTATAAGCAGTAGTTCACAGTCATGATCATCATTAATTTACATCAGTCACCTGATAGAAGTGTGTCATTCATATTAGGATTGGAATTCATCTCGCTCTATTTACCTATCGACCTTTGATCCAGGATATGGTTTAAGTGTTCCAAGATAATGAAAGCATTAAGCAGTGAGCTATGTTACTAAATATCAGATAGGTTCCTTGATCTGCTTGGGATTTCCCAAATATACTTACAACAGTAAACATGGATTTTTTTTATTTCTGAGGACTCAAAGTGGCTTCAAACTAACACATTCTGTATGATATTTAAATGAGATAATATCAGAGTGCCATCATGAAATACCAGCAATGTATAGTTAAGGGCTTTCTCTGATATTAATATTAATGAAAATGATTCAGTATCCTATTCATAGAATCATACGAGACAGAATAAGACCATTCGGTCCATCATATTTATACTCCTCTTAACCTCATCTCCACTAAAATTTTACACTAAAACAATTCAATAAATAAATTTTCCTGATGTGTCAAATAACTAAGGTGTGATTGGTTGAGACATTAGTAGCAACATATATATACAGAGCAATACTGCAGCAAGGGGACATTGCCACAAGAGGAGGAGAGGCGGGTCAGTGAGATGGACAAAATTAGCATCTAGCTATGTTGATTTCCAGGTAAATATTCAGTAGATGTAACAGGCATAATGGGTTTGTCTATACCAAATTCCCTGTAGTGTTCCCAAGGGCAAACAGGGATGGACAATAAATGCTGGTTCTCCAGCAGTGCTTACATTCCACAAGTTAATAAAAGAAATTTGGCAATGATAACACGTTCTTTTTAGTACTCCAAATCTCAAATTGGCAAGCACTAAATCTGCTAAAACATCTCTTTCTTGAAATAAACTGTATGTCTGTCGGTCCATTCTCTAAAATTTCATGTCTAGCCTCTCCTCACTATAAGCAGCTAATCTGTTCCCAGATTTCTATCAATGCTATATCATAATTAGTCTGGTGACTAATGGGCAAGCAAGGGATAAGGAAAGGTCAATTGCTTAATGATGTTAACTATCTATTATGTTACCTTTCTGCGTGAAACTATTTTAAGACAGCTCCACTAAACCATGAAACCCTGGATTTCTATAACACTTTTTAACATAGAGAGATTCTGTTATAGATGCTTTAAAAAGGGGGGAATGGAATAGATACTGAAACTGACCAAAAGCCTGATCAAAGTCAACCTTTTTGAAAGCTTAACAAGTTGATGAGGGAAACAGAGAAGTGTAGGAGTTTAGGAAGAGAGTTAGAGAGATGAAGACCAATACAACCAAAGATCTACCACCAATAACAAAATCCCAGTGGATTGTTGAAGCAGATTGTTAGAGCTGCACTTATCCAGGCAGTCCATAGCAGTCCTGATTTGTGCCCTGTAGATGGTGGCAGGCTTTGAAAAATCAAGTGGTGAGTTACTTGTGCAGAATGGTCAGACTGTATCCTGTTTCAGTAGCCACTGTATTTGTGAGGTTAGACTAGCTAAGTGTCTGGTCAGTGACAACTTCCAAGATCTTGGTGGTGGGGGAAAAAAAGAATCAGTGATATAACGCCATTGAACATCATCAGAAGATGAATAGGTCCTGTTTTTTTTTGGAGATGGTCACTGTCAGGTACTTGCATAATGTGAATGTTGCTGATCTCATATCAACCTCAATCTGAATATCATCCAATATTGCTGCATTTGGACATGGTCTACAGTCATGAATGGTGCTGAACATAGTACGATCATCAGCAAACAGCTTCACTTCTGACCTAATGATGGAAGGAAGATCACTGTTGAAGATGATTGGGCCTGGGACACTACCCCGAGGAACTCCTGCAGAGATGTCCTGGGACTGAGATGACTGACCTCCAACAACCATAACCACCTTCCTTTGTATCATTGCATTGTGTTGAGAAGTGCTGTCATTCACATGAGACATTAAACTGAGGTTTCACCCTTCTCCCCAGGTGAATGGAAAAGAACAGAGAATCCTGGCCAACATTCCTCCTGCAAATAACACTTACAGATCAAATTATCTGGTCGTTCAAACCAAATAAAAACCGAAAGAACTGCAAATGCTGTAAATCAGGAACAAAAACAAAGTTGCTGGAAAAGCTCAGCAGATCTAGCAGCATCTGTGAAGGACAAAACAGAGTTAACGTTTCAGGCCTGGTGACCCTTCCTCAGAACTAGTTCAGATGCTGCCAGACCTGCTGAGCTTTTCCAGCAACTTTGTTTTTGTTATATCTGGTTATTCATTTGCACTTCTTGTAGAACTGTATTATACATAATTTAGCTCCAGTATCTGCCTACATAATTTAAGGGCTTTCTCAATAAAAGCAACCTGTAGCGCCCTGAGGCCATAAAAGGGGCTACAAAAATTGAAATCCTTATCTTTCATTTACTCTGTCTGTGCTAAACTCCATAATCAAAAAAACTTCTGCCAGTCAGCAAGTTAGGGTGGTTTAAGGTTGAATTTGGTTTGCTGATGATAGAAAGAAAATTGCTAGCATTTCTAGGATGGTATAGTGGCTCACTGGTTAGCACTGCCACCTCACAGCACCTGGGACCTGGATTTGATTCTGCCCTCAGGCAACAGTCTGGAGTTTACACATTCTCCCTGTGTCTGCATGGGTTTCCTCTGGGTGCTCCGGTTTCCTCCCACAGTCCAAAGATGTACAGGTTTAGGTGGGTAAACGTGGGGATAGGGTGGGTCTGGGTGGGATGCTCTTTGGAGGGTCAGGACTCAATGGGCCAAATGGCCTGCTCCTATGATCAGGAACACCCAAAGTTAGTAATAGCAATCAAGTTACATTTTTCTGCAGTATTATTAGTTAAATACTATTGTCAGCCAATCTGCTCACAGCTAAATCACATATCCTTTAAAACAGCAAAGTGAAGGATAAATGTTAAAATGTTTAACATCCATCAGGTGATAATAAAAAGGTGTGCAAAGCCTAAATTCAACCTGGCAACATTCAGTTTGAATGAAGGTGGATTGAGGAATGGCAACTGGTCTGCTCTGAGGAGTAGAGACAACAAGGTGCAGGGCTGGATGAACACAGCAGGCCGAGCAGCATCATAGGAGCAGAAGGGCTGACGTTTCGGGCCTAGACCCTTCATCAGAAAAGGAGTAGGGTCAGTCGTCAAAATAGCGACAAGTACTCTAGTGAAACTAGACGTTCTATATAAAGCAAATTGATTTACAATTGAATACAATTTCTGCATTTATAACTATTTTTTGTTGTTACTCCTAATATACAATAACAAAATAGGACACTTAATCATGGGTGGGGCTACCTCTGGTGTGGGAGCTCCTGGCATCAGCTGAGCATCTCTGAAGCACACAAAATAAAAATTTATTGTAACTTCTGAGCTACATTCATTTTAATTTTTCCTCTGCTGCGTATACTTTTGAGGTCCATAAGCAGCAGTGGCTTCTAGAACCAGAGGCTGATTCATCCACACCCATACAGTATCTGTGGACCCTCCGAGCAACTGTGCAGTCAGACAGCTTAGAGGGAACATTGATCATACCTCAGAAACAATCTCTAAGGTGGTAGGACTGCCATACATAGTCACAAATGATGATGAACAATTAAAACCACTCACAGAAAGAGGAGGAGGCTCTACAAACACCCTTTTAAAATGTTAATGATGATCTCCCTCTGCACCTTCTCGGCAGCTGTAACACTATATCCTGCACCCTGTTTTGTTACCCTGATGCACTGGTATAGTACAAGCTGCCCGTAAAGCACACAAAACGATGCTTTTCACCGTATCTCAGTACACCTAACAGTAATAAATCAAATCAAATCAATACTCAATAATGGGAGTTCAGCAGATCAGTACAAAAGACGAGGTTGAAACATTTGCACGCACCTTCAGCCAGTAGTGCCGAGTAGATAATGCTCTTTTGCCTTCTCCTGAGGTCCCCAAAATCTCAGACACCAGTCTTCAGCTAATTTCATTCACTCCACCATGTAATATCAGCAAATGGCTGAAAAGACTGGATATTGCTGTGGGTCTTGACAACACTCTGACAAAAGTACTAAAGCTCCAGAACTAACCATGCCACTTTGACAGGAATAATACAAAAAGCAGAATATTACTCAAATGGCAGGAGACTGCAGACTATTGCAGTCCAGAAGGATCGGACTAGCCTTGTGCACAAAGCACAAAGTTGGCATGCAGGTGTAGCACATGATTAGGAAGGCAAATGGCATGTTGACCTTTATTAGAATAGAAATGCAGTGTGAAAGTAGGAAATCTTGTTACAACAGTCTAGCAACTTGATGAGACTGTACCTAGAGCATTGTGTGTAGTTGGTTTGCTTGCTTAAGAAGCGATTTACTTACATTGCAATCAGTCAGCAAAGATTTGAGAGGCTGATTCCTGGAATTTAGGGGAGGCAGTAGCATAGTGGTAACGAGGCCTAGACAAATAGTCTAGGAACAGGTGTTCAAAACCCACCATGGTAGCTGGTAGAGTTTAAACTAAATTAAATTGACCGTTATGGAATTGAAAGCTACTTTTAGTCATGGGTTCATGAAACTGCCAATGATTGTCATAAAAACCTGTCTTGGTCATTAAAATAATTTGGGAAAATAAATCTCCCATTCTTACCTGGTCTGGCCTATACATGGCTGCACATCTGCAGTAATGTAGTTGTCTCTTCACTATCCTCTGAAGTAGCTCAGCCATTCAGTTGCAGTGTAATTAGGAATTTGCAACAAATGCCATTGTCTGTGATGGTCAAATTCCATGACCTTTTTTTTAAATAAAGGGGTTGGCTTTAACCATCTGAATTTAGAAGAATGAGACGTGATTATTCAAACAATAAGATTGAAAGCTTGCTTGACAGGGCAAATGCTGAGTGCAAGCTTCCTCTTGTGCAGCAATCCAATACCTCGTGAAACTGTGTAAAAATACAGGGTCACCCATTTACAACAGAGATCACCAGCAATCTCTTCTCCAGCAGTTGCTGGTCTTTGGAATTCTTTTCCACAGAGAACAGAAGGAGCTGGTAGTCAAAGCTGTGCAAGACAGTTTATTGATTTACAAGCGAGACAAAGGTTACAGGGAGAAGGCAAGAAAGCAACTGCAATCTTATAGAATGGCATAGCAGGTTCGATGGATTGAATAGCCTACTGTTGCTCCTAGTTCTTGTGGATTTATACAGGAAAACATATTTATTTGACAGAAAGTTAAATTACTTGATTGTACTGAAAATCTGTTTAACTTTACCTTAAGTGAGTCCTTACAATGGTTGAACAGCTTCTTTATTCCAGAGGTAGTAATGCACTTTCTCCTGTCATTGCATCGATAAAGCCTGAGGCTTTGTGGGTGATGTTGCCCAATACTTGCAAGCCTGTCGTCATTCAAACAATTGCAATTTTCAATCTGAATAATTTTCCCTGAAATAGAAGTAGTGCACTTCAAATCACATTAGCCACAACAAGAAAAAAAACATATACTCCAGTTGCTGGAAATCTGAAATAAATAACAACAGAAAATGCTGGAGAAATTCAACAGGTCTGGCAGCATATGAGGAGCAAGAAAGAGAGTTAGAGTCCAACGTGGCTCTTGTTTGAACCTTAAATCCAGAATTCAGAAAAATACCTACATTTCTGTTGAGAGTAAAGATCTTGCTGTATTTTTAAATTTATTCTTCCCAATGCCAAAAATTATTTTCCTACTCACTTCACATAATCATTGGCCAAAATATAGACATGCAAGATCCTTGCCAACTTTCAAAACTATTGTTGTGAAATTAGGGAGTAAGGTACAGAAGAATGTTCCACTGTGAGCACCACCCTCCCTCAACAACCTACAATAATACCCTGATGCTGAAGACTGATAATTCTTAAAAATCAAATGTGCATTTTTAATTGGTATTCTCATAACAGTAGCAATCTGGCAACTCTCAGGATTTCAAAATACTCACACTGCACTTTCAAATCACAAAAGGGTTTATTCCAAAGTTACATGGATACAAAAATGTTAGTGAGAAATTACAATAATTCCAAAGTCACAAATATTCCTGGCTTCTAGCCAGAAAATTAAACCTCTCTCATTTGCATCTGGCTGTCGCTCTTGCTGCCTTCTCATTTCACCCCTCAGGAACAGGAGCTCCTTCTTTGCCCTTGCAGCTTAGGGGAGAACCTCAAGGAGGTAAACCATAGAGGTGAGCAATCTGGGGTTTTCATTCTGTCATTCTTGCTGTAGCTTTCCAGTCAGCTCCTAGGTTAGTTGAAATTAGTGCTTGAAGAGCAGTGACAACGGGATGATTGAAGGCAGCAGTCGTTGAAAGGACTCCTTTATTCAGGCAACAGTTGAATGCAGGGTTGGAAAGCCTTTAAATTCAGTCCCAGAACCTGCTGCACTGTCAACTGATATTGACGTCAAAACCTGACCTCCAGCCTTGGGCATTCAATGAACAGCATCTGTGCCTTACACAAGTTACTTTTTAAAATGCTAAAGTATGGCTGGCTGGCACTGAAAGATAGCACACAGGTTCTTGTTCCATAGAACCACTGTCGCACACACAGGAAACTGTTGCAGCAACCCAGCTTATCTGGTCTTGAACATATTGCTCGATTGCTGTTGTGTCCTGGAACCCCGTTTGAGTTATGGTAACTAATCAAAAAGTAAAGTCACCATAGTCCTACTGGACTATAGGGCTGGTCTCTCATCAGTGAGAGATGACCAATGATGGCTTATCCTAAGGGTCACGAAGTCTTAGGCAGAGGTTTAGAATAAGAGTCCTTCATGGTAACCTCAGCTGGTGCAGAAATTGAACCCACAATGTTGGCATCAACTGCGTGTTGCAAATCAACTGAGCTAATCGAACCACCCCCCCCCCTCATGCTAACTACAGCCAAAATGGCAATAGTCTGAGATTCCAATCAAACATTTACTGAAAGTTCTACGATTCATCATCAGAAGATGCATCATTGTGGATTGCACAGGTAGATCAAAGGAGGTAATAACTCATGTTACATTTGAAAGTAAGATTTCTAAGATTTGTTCATAGTTGTTGAGAACTTGGTGGTAGACTATGCTGTGCTTCTTGAAATTGTGCACAAGTTTCCTGTCAGGCTTCCTGATGTCCCAAACATTTGGTTATATACACTGATGAGCCTTTCTCTTTAGCCTGGCTCATTGCCATCTTCAAACTCCTCTACAGCAGGATTAAAACATAAGACTGCTCTTCATCAGGCTGGAACTTGCATTATCCTTCCCTTCCGCCCTGGATCCTGGGCATCCATTATCTCATGTACCAATCCCTCCTCCAGCTTCTAAATATGCATGGATAATACTCTTGGAAGCTTCCAGGTCTTGGCAAACGAATAAATAAAGAATCACAGAATGGTCACAGCACAGGAGGAACTATTTGGCCTATTGTAACTGCGGCCATTCTCCAAGTGAGACTCATGGTTCAAAGTCATTCTTCTGTTTTTTTCCAATATCTTGCACATCCTATCATCTAATATCCTCTTGAATGCCTCAATTGAATATGCCTCCACCAGACTTCCAGGCAGTACATTTTAGACTTGTACCATTCATTGTGTGAAAGCCTTTTTCCCTCACATCAGCTGTGCTTCTTTTGCAAGTCACATTAAATTTATGCCTGCTCACTTCTGATCCTTAAGAGAGTTAACAGTTTCTCACTATCTACTATATCCAGCTCTCTCATGATTTTGAGGATTTTAATCAGATCTCCTCTTAACCTTCATCTCTTCGAGAACAGTCCCAATCTCTCCGAACTGTGATCGTAACTAAAGTTTTTCATCCCTAGAATGATTTCTGTAAATCTCTTCTGCACACTCTCCAAAGCATTCACATTGATCCTGCAAAGTGACGACCATAACTGTACACAATACTCCAGCTGACGTCAACGAATGTCTTATACAAATCGACAAGTGTTGAGTTGTGGTGAGGTGAGAAAAGGAAGAAAGGATTACATGATTACAGCATCGGCACTCTATAGAACAAACTCTGTGATGGGAAAGAAATAGGAAGATAAAAGGAGGTTTATATACACAGTTGTTAATCATCGATCCTTCTGGGCCCATTCAGCAATCGCCACAGCCTCAGCAATGCATCTTGTATTATAGTCAACACTGTCTACTCCAAGATGGTCAAAACATGCCAGTCCCTTTGTTCTCTTCTTATTCCTCCTTGCTGTCTCCTGTTGTATGCCATCTTCTCCTGCAATAAGGAAGAAAGTGAATCAGTGAATGTCTTACAGATTTCGGATGCCATGGAATTCATTGCTTGCCACTGTATGAGAACTGTGATTTATCGATGTGAGGTATACCATAGTGCTAAGTATGTGAGGTCTGAGGTAAACGATATGAATTTTAGGATGGAGTACTGACAGAGGAAATTATTGGTAGTTGCATAGTGGAAGTGCAATGACTTGAACAGTGAATGGAGTGAGTTGTCGAGTTGATGAGACATTATTTGCAACTTGTGCCCGATCACTAAACTTTATCTCACAGCACTTCCTGCACTACATTTGTGTTCTTCTATCTAAGCTCCTAATATTAAGTTCCACTACTTTATCTTCCTATTTCGTCTTGAGCATTTGTTCTCATAGACCCCTGCCATTCCTGCACATACTGGATGTCTCTTCTTCTCTCCACATTTTACACCAAAAAGTGTGCATTGCATCATTAAAAAAGCTTGGTGAATTTTTGCTCAAATGTTCAGTCATTCTTTGGAAGCATCATATTAAGTTTTCAATTAACTGTTGCTATTTATTTTTTACAGCCACAATGCAGTTCCTCTTTAAGAGGAACCAAATGCTTCCATGTGATGCTAGACATTTGCAGTAATCAATCGTTTTGCCCATGCATTCAGCCAATGCACCTTGTGAAAAATGCTGCCTACATGCAGGAATCATTGCAATCATCAAATAGCATCAATGTAGCCGAACGATTATTCAACATGGGTCTATCACGTACAGTGATCACATGCCCACTTCATGAGTTTGTCTAATTTAGACACCATTGAAGTTTTATGAACATACATAAGTGCTCATGTAGAACCATTCCATGACCATACAAAATTCCAAATATTGCAAAATGAAACAGAATGTTTATGCATTTAGCTGTCAGAGGGCATGTATGCTCTATAATCAACATTTTGAATATTTGGAAGATTAATTATTTTGCCAAGTCCACAGATCAAACTAGACTGAAAGAGATGGTGGAAGGCTAGTAGCAAGTGAAAATACCTTTTAAAACAAAAATATCACTTGTAGTACAGTAGTAAGACTAATATTATGAATATTTGAGCCTTGATTACATCAGCCTTGAATCCTAGCCTCAGTGGGTCTTTAAAATAAATGAGTATGTACAATGTACACAATCTACTGTACACCTAGGGTATTTCACAATAATGTTTTACTTTCAGGTGGAGCATTATGAATTTTGGCATCCACATGTACACCTATGTATGTATTCTTTTACCCATTACAAAGAGAATGAGGAATATCTGGTGACATTGGTCAAGAACTTGTTTCCTAAACTTGCAAAGACTTACGAATTCAACCCTTTAAAAATGCAGGAAAGATTTTTAAACTGTTCATGGTTCCTTTGTTACGAGATTGCAACGTGCTTTCTCTAAAATTTTCTGTCATTAGAATGCAATTATAGGTGATATTGCAGCCTGTGAATAAGGGAATTAGACTTTATCTAATTAATGTTCACTTTGCTACAAGTTAACTTACCTATATTTCGAATAAATTAGGATTCCCATCATACATGTTAAGGGTTAAAAGGACTTCTTAAGAGACAATACTGAAGTTTAAGCTGCTTAAACAGGTGAAATCAAGTTGTAAAATATAAAAAGCACTTTTTTTAGTTTCAAAAATTGCACATAAGAGATTAGTTGGAGTTGTTCTTTATTGTGTTTAACAGTAATGCAGTTATGCCACGGTGCTGAGTTTATAGGTGCACTTGTAGCAAAGTAGTTTAAAAGAAACCTATTCTTATTTGCTTACAAATAACAAATGAAGAAGGAAGCTAAACTAAACTATGTTGTTATATCACTTAAACAAAACAGTGGTGCACTGCTTTTCTGGGTTTTCATCTTCCTCCTTTCAAATAAAATAAATGAAAAATGACGGTCTGGATTTTCGTCCTGGAGATCTGTAGCAGGCTTAGAGAAACTTCCCAGCTCACCTTCATACCTCAACAAAATGTTCCTGCAAAGGTGGGATTTTCATTCTGGGCTTGAGGAACGTGGAGGTGATGGTGGTGGTGGTGAGTGCAAATAGGATTTGGGATCGCAACCCTCCCCAGAATGATTTTGAGGGGCTGCTAGGTGCGGAGGTTGGCAGTTTAAAGGGCTGACTGGATGCAATGGGAGTTAATCCAGTTTTATTGCTTTTATTTAAACCGAACATTGCTCCATAGCTCTCACCCACTTCAACAACCCTCAAACTCCATAAGCCCACTCCTTTCTGGCCCAAGTACCCTGTGGCTCCACAATTCTCCGTGCCAACCTATCTCCCTTCACCCACTGACCCAGATCCCTCATACCTTTGATACCAACCTACAGCATTTACATGCACATTAAAGAATGCTGGAACAGGAATAGGGCACTCATGCCTGTTCTGCCATTCCACAGCAGGCCTGATGATCTACTTCAACAGCATATAACCAAGCCATCTCCATGTCACTTGTTATCAGTAATCTAACAACCTCTCTCTTTAACTTACTTAAATGATTGGGCTCCACATTCCTTTGGGATAGAAAATTTTGTAGATTCAACAGTGTCCGAGTAAAGGGGTTTCTTTATCTCAATCCTAATATGCTTGTCTTTTACTCTGAAACTGTGTCCCCTGGTTCTAGAATCTCATCCACAGGAAACATACTTTCTGCACCTGCACTGTATATCCCTTTAAACATCTTTGTACATTTCTGTGAGATTACCTGTCACTCTCCTAAACTCCAGAAAATACAGGCCCAGTCTCACTATCCCAAGAATCAGACTGGTCAACCTTCATTGCACTCCCCCTACGGTGACTTCTTTAGGAAAGGGTACCTGAACAATCTGGGTGTGTTTTCACCAGTCTTCCACACAACTGAAGCAAAACGTCTTGTAATAAAGGCTAACATACCATGCCTTCCAAATTGCTTATTGCACCTTTATGCTAGCTTTCAACGAACAAGGTCACCTAGATCAGAACTTTATAATCTCACACCATTCAAGAAGTACTCTGCACCTTAATTTCTCCTACCAAAGTGGATAATCTCACACTTACCAACATTATATTCCATCTATCCTGCTTGTGCTCACTCAGGCTGTCTGAATCCTTTTGAATTCTCTTTGCATCCTCCTCACAAATCCCACTTCCAACGAATTTGTATCATCTGTAAACTTGGAAATGTTACAGCATGGTCCAAGTCAATTATTTACCCAGTGTACAGATATACAGGACCAAGGAATCATGTTGCAACAATATATGAAAAAAATGTTTGAAAGTAATTTATTCGTAATTTTCTTAATGGTACTGCTCATACTGCAGCCTTATCAAAATGGCAAATCAACCAGGTCTTTAAAATACCAATAGCAGAAATTGCAAGCACCTGCTACTTGCATCATATTTAAATGAATTTGAGCGATAGAAAAACGAATTCAAGAGAAAGAGCTTTCACTCTAGCAATATTTTACTTTGGGCACCACTGTTGCAAAACACTGGATTTTCAACCAAGCCTAATTTTGCATTCTCAGACCTGGGCCCTCATAAAGAGCCAAATCCCCGTATAAGTATCATCAGTCATTAATGACCAGAAGCTTAACTGAAGCAGGTAAAACAGCATTGTGGTTGCAACAGCAATGTGAAAAGTGACTTTGCTTGACCTGAAAAAAAACTTTATAAAACATGGAGAGGTTATTCAGAAGGCGAGGTTATTCAGAATACTCACCTGGATGGGAGGAATGATAATCCTAAAGTGCTCAACACTGTGCAGGGTACAGCACGTGACCCTGTCACATGATTCAAAATCTACTCTCTACACAACAGAATCAGTATTTGAAATTAATTAGTATTTTATCTTTCAGATCTTGACCATACATCTGCATAACTTGTGTATCTTCCGCTTTTATTTCAGATTACCAGCAATAATGATCCTTTAAAAAATCTTTCAGTCAGATTTTAGTTATTTTAGGAAGAAAATAGATTTTAAATAGTACAACAAGCAAAAGGACTCTGAAAACTAATTGCACTTTTTATAGATAGATATGAGATAGATTACTTGTTAAATGAAAACTCACATAAAGTTTCATCATTTGCCAAGCGATAGAAGCAGTGACAGACTTGGGCAACCTGACAGAGGTCCTGGTGTGATAAGAGGGTGAAAACCTGAATCCAGATCTCATCAGGAAGATAAAGCCACAGTAAATGATCATCAGCCCCTTTACCAGCCTAGGTTAAGATGAAACAAACAAAAGATCATGATCAGCAGTGTTTGATACTCTGCGCAGTGGAATCACACAACACCATCTAGTGGACAAATGATACACATGCCTTCGATGTGCATAGAAAGATCTATGGCAGTTTGAACTAGTTTTACAATGAAATTACACTATTCGAAAGATGATCAGATTTCAAATAATTCATATACGTAAGGCAGTAACCCATATGATTTTCATAATTCAAGGCCTCTGGGTCACCCATGAATGAAAATCTTCATTTTTCCACTGGTGCTGTCAAACAATGCAGAAAATAGATTGTTGAAATGTTTCACCCTTTTGTGGAGCAAGTTATCAATAAAACTCCACCTACTTTTGCATTTCTCTCTTTGTTTTCCCCACTCCTGTACCAATTAAAGCCAAAATAACAAGAAAGTAATCAATTGCTAGGTTTCCTTAAGGCTTCTCCACAAACAAAAATTAAAAAATGCAAAGGATGGCCCAAGAATGAAGCTCAATTAATCTCCATTTCAGGTGCCATTTGGCACAGTCATAAAACACTGAACTTAATAACCAAATCCAATCCCATATTAACAAAAAGTAACACTTGCACTTACATAGTGTATTTCATGACCACAAGCAGTCCCAAATACTTCATATTAATATTTAATATTGTAATATAATAAATATGACAACTAACAGTTAGAATCCATTAACAGCAAGGTGATAATTATCAGAATCTGGTTGAGGTGTTATAACTGATCAGATAATTTGGTAATGTTGCTTTTGAGGTATTATTGATAAGGATACAAGGGAGAAATCCCCTGCTCTTCAAACAATGTCATCAGGTGATCACATCCACTTGAGAGGATAATCAAGGTCTCGGTTTAATATCGGATTTGAAAAATCGTACTGCCTAATTCTGCAAAAGGGTATCAAACTAAATTTTGTCTTCAAGTCTCTGGAGTAGCTAATACCTTCTCAATATCTTCATACAGGTAACTTGGAACAGACATCTCCAGATAAGACTTAGAATGCTCCTCCTTAAAGACATGCCAAGGACAACCTTTACCTTTGAGTGAGGCCAGCTAACTCAGCACAGAATGGAAATGAATCTGACAAATTCTTGGTCTATGTGGTTCAAATAAATATTTCTTTAAGCTGTGGAATTCTGGGTTTCTTATACAATATAAATGAGGATGAAATACTTGCCAGTTTGTCACAGGGCTGGAAGGCATTGTTCAAACTTTCACCAACTTCACCTAAGAACAAAACAGTACATTTCAGACCATTTTGTAATTAATAAACTGTAAAAATACGAGAATATATATGGGAGCACTATTTGAGGATTATGAAAGACTGTGGACAAACATGGAATAGGCTGGAAGACTGGAAAGACAAGTAGCAGGGACAGTTTAATGTATGAAATACGATGCAGAATATTTTACCTTTAACAAGGAGGAAAGAAAATACACCTTAAATTGCGAGATCCAAAATGGGAGTAAAAGGATTTCAGTGTGTCGAAACAGGTCATTACAGACAGCAACACAAATATAATGTAAAATCATCAAATGGTATCCTTTGGTTTTATATCTAAAAGTACAAAATACAAAAATACAAGGCTAGATTTTAAATGGCTCCCCTTGTATACTCCTTTGGCAGGTGGGTGTGAACATGTAAAATAGGTGGTTAGCCCACCACCATACTTTCAAGCTGACCCGCACTATACATTAAGTGGGTAAGTGCGAAAATCGATAGACCACCACCATATTTGATAATTAAAGGCCTATTAGATTTGTTATCAAACATATTAAACTGAATAATATGCTGACAATGCCAAAATATGCACAGAGGTGTTCCTGTACTGTATTTCTCCAACTGCAAGATGTCATCATCTGCAAAATATTGGCTGCTCAAAGATCTCATGGACCTGTACCCATGTTATACAATGAAATACCATGTATGGCGTGGTGGCTTTAAACAGTGCTTCCAACTTATGAAAACAAACCACAATTAAAATTCGAACATAGGAAAAAATATGCATTTCAAACCACAATGAAGACATTAAGTGTCCCGGTGGAAAATTGCACTACTCTTTTAAATTTGTCTGAAACTTATAGAGAATACCTTAGAGTATATCACTTAAACTGTAAATGTTCATCTACAAATCATTTATATTTTCTGCCTATGCATTGGTAACATATGAAGCAATTCCAGGAATCACAGTTTAAATCCATGCTGTGCTTTAGCTACCAACGCAGATAGTGAAACCCCAAGCTGACTGTTAATGTAAAATGGGCAAGGTTGAGAAACCAAATATTATGTATTTTTAGTTAAAATAAATGACCTGCAAAACATAGCACTGTTGAAAAATAATAGGGGTCCAGTCGTAATGATTTCTGATACTGATTGCTATGTTAGAAATGATAATGATGATCACACAGGCATTCCACACACGGGAAACTTGCACAGCAGGCAGTTGAGATACCACTTAGTGCGGATTTGACACTCAACTTTATTTGGACTTTGTGGGTTTATAGCAATGGCCTATCTTTAAACACTCATTGCTGAACATGCTGAATAGGAGATAAACCCTGCCCCTGCCTGGCACCCCACACCACCCCACGATCCCACTAATGCTATAAAAGAATAAGTATATAACATTTCAGGTGAGGTCTTCCAATTTTCCTTTGTTGCTGCAGAGTTAGTGCAAAGTACTGTGAAAGTCATAGAGTTCTCAAAACTTTTCAGTTAGAAAGGAGTAGTAGTGCTGAACCTTTGCAAGGAGAGGAAGGAATTTTGAAGGCCTCTGAACAAAAACCTTAAGGGTAGGCTTCAGCACAACGGGGGTATGGAGCAAGGCAGCACAGAAAAGAAGTCGGGCTCTCATGAAGCAACAACAGCTTATTGCTCTAAATATGGATCATGGTTCTGCTTTCCCACCCATCCATATGTGGACAGCACCTCCACAAAAGGAACTCTGCTGCAACCAAGTAGACCAGAGCTCAAACAATTGTTTTGTTGCCTATACTGCATTGGAGGAACCGTCCAATTCTCACCAATGTATGCTACATGATTTGTGGTAGTCTGCTTATCCACCACAACTTTTATATGCCAAAGATACAAACCTTCCTACTAGGCCCTTTGTGACCATATTAGGACTTGGATGAGTCACAGGAAAGGGGATGGGGCAGTGAGGATAGGAAATAGGAGAAAGAAGGAAACCAATTACTCAGCTACAAAGCCTTTTTTTACACGGTCCATATTAATGACCTAAACGAAGTAGCTGAGAAAAATATATCTGTTTTCCAAGGATATGAACTTAGGTGGAAGGTAAGCTCTGAGGAAGACAGAGACTCTGCCAAGAAATACAAACAGGGTAAATGAGTGGGCAACAAGGCAGTAGATGGAGTATAATGTGAGGAAGTGTGAAGCTTTTCACTTTGGTAGTAGTGACAAAAAAAATACAACTTTTTTAAAAGGCACAAAATTCATAAATGTTGATATTCAGAGAAACTTCAGCATACTTGTATAAGAAGCACAAAGTTAGCAAACAGGCATAGCAAGTAATCAGGAAGGCAATTGAACATTACTAGGGAGCTGGAGTACAAGAATAAAGAAGTCTTGTTATAATTATCTGGGGTTTTGGTGAGACAACACCAGCAGTACTGTGTGCAGTTTTATATTCCATATTTAAAGAAATGCATATTTTCTTTGAATGCAGAGCAGCAAAACTTCACTAGAATTGTCTGTAAGATGACAGGTAGTTCTTTGATGACAGATTAAATAAATTGGGCCTATACTGTCTGGAATTTGATGAACGAGAGATGATGACATTGGAACACTCCAGAACCTGAAGTGATTTGATAAGGTAGACAATGAGTGGTTGTTTGGTGAATTTAGAATATGGGCAAACAACATCAGGATAAGGGATGATTATTTAGGGCTGGGGTGAGGATAAATTTCTTTACAGATATTGGGTCAGTTAGCTTAGTTGGCTGGATGGCTGGTTTGCGATGCAGAGTGACACCAACAACATGGCTTCAATTCTTGTTCCGGCTGAGGTTACCATTATGGTGCCATTTTCTCAACCTTGCCTGAGGTGTGGTGGCTCTCAGGTTAAACTCACTGCTAGTCACCTGTCTCCAATGAGAGAGCAGCCCTAATGTTGTCTGGGATTATGGTGACTTCATATTTGCTTGACCTATGTTTTTCATAGAATCAGAGAGGTGTTATGGCACAAAAATAGGTCATTGTGTCTGTACTCACTTTCCAAATGAGCATCTTGACTTAGTGCCATTTTCTTGCCTTTTCCCTAGACCCTGGTTTAAGTTTAAAGAATCATCAAATGCCCTCTTGAATGCCTCTATCGAACTTTCCACCACCATACTGTGAGGCAGTGAACTCTAGACCCAAACCATTCATCATGCAAAGATGATTTTTCCTCACTTTTGCTTTATCAACAGATCATTTTAAGTCTATGCCCTCTCAGCCTATAGTTACTAGTTATTTTTCTTTCCTCCTTTTTGAAAAGGGGTGCAATATGGCAGATTTAAAATCCTCCAGGAGTTTTCCATTTCCAAGAATTTTTAGAAAATTACAACAAATGCATTTGCTAGCATTGTAGCTACTTCTTTTCAGATCCTAGGATGCAAGCCATCAAGGCCAGGGGATTTATCTGCCTTAAGCCCATTAGTTTGTCTATTGCTACTTCAGAGTGATGGTGATGATGCTAAATTCCTCCCCCGTATTCTTCACTGCTAATGGGATGTTCAGGGTGTCTACCCCCATAAAGATTGGCACAAAATATCTGTTTAACTCTTCGGCCATTTCCTTGTTTCCCATAGCAATCTTCCCAGATTCATTTTCTAAGGGACCTAAGGGATCTCCCTCACACAGATTGTGTGCCCTTAAAAGCAGTGAAATGTTTATAAGAGAAAAAAAGTAAGAAAGGAAACCATGTGAACATGCTTAAAAATTATTTACTGCATCATGCCCTAATACAAAAAAATACTGTCATTGATTACGATTAGATTCCATTATTAATTGACTCTGAAAGACAGCTTAAAATTTAAATTGAAAGGACTGAATGTTCATTCAAAAATTCAAAAATTAAACCGCATTTGAAGGAAGTGTTCACTGTTTTAAACTTACATGTTTTTATAGTTTTCAATGAAGTCACTGCTGTAGTGTGAAGCGGTGTTTTGGATCTTGATGTTTCTTGTGGTGCTCGTTTACTATTTGGAACCTTAGCGCTAACAGGCCGTTTGATCAGCTGCCTCAATGACACTAAAGGCACAGACAGAAAGACATTGTTTGACCTTCTTTCTAAAACAAAAATTACTTCAAATTCTCAAAAATGCCTTCACAATTAAACCACACCATACAACACTCACTTTCTGAAATATTCATCATTGGAATATAGGAAATAGGGGCAGAAGTGGGTCATTCAGCCCCTTAAATTGGTTCCACCATTCAACTGGATCCAATTCAATACATTTTCTTACAGCATCTCCACATCATCAATAAGGTTAGTATCAGAAATCAGATCTATCGAATATACTCAATGACTCAGCTTCCGCAACCCTCTGGGCTAGAAAATTTCAAGATTCAACAGTCTGCGACTCAAGAAATTCTTTCTCACCTCAGTCTGAAACAACACACTTCTTGTTCTGAGATTGTCCTCTTGGTTCTAGGCTCCTCAGACAAAGGGAAACATCCTTCTTGTATCTACCCTGTTCAGACCTGTAAAAATGTTGTATACTGAATGAGATCACTTCTCATTCTTCTAAACTCTTAAGAACATTGATACAGACTCCTCAATTTCTCCTCATTGGGCAATTCCAATATCCCAAGGATCAGTCTGATGAATCTTCATTCGCTCGACAAGTCTTTGGCAAGTATATCCTTCATTTGATAAGAAGCCTTTTAAGTAGCTAAAGAGACAGATTCTGGTAAAGTCCCAGAGGATTAGAAAACTGCCAAGGTAACGCCTGCATTCAAAATGGCAAGGAGACAAAAACACAGGTAACCACAGGCCAGTTACCTTAATGTCTGTCATCGGGAAGTCTAACAGAGCGTTTAGAAATACATAATATGATCAAGCAAAGTCAAAGTCAGCATGGCCTCATGAAGGGAATAAGATACCTGACAAATTTATTGGAATTCTTTGGATGGATAAAGAGGAAGTAGTAATTGGAATATATTTGGATTTTCAGAAGGCATTTGCTAAGGTACTTCACATTAGGCTACTTAATAAGACCCTGTGATGTTGAGGATAGTATATATTAGCATGGATAGAGGATTGGCTAAAAGAAGTCAGAGGTTTGGGATATGAGGGGCATTTTAAAGGATGGCAACTATAACTATGAAGTGCCACAGTGATCATTGCTGGTGGCCATAATCATTCACAATATATAATAATGATGTGAATGAGGAAAGCAAATGTATTATAGCCAAGTTTGCAGATGACAAAAATAAGTGGGAAGGAGAGTGACTCAGTGTGCTGGTGGAGATAGGCAGGTTAAAGAAGTAGGGAAAAACTTGGCTGATGGAATAACCGGAGGAAAATATGAGGTTATGCACTTTGGCAGGAAGAATAGAGGAGTTGATATGATTAAAATGGAGAAATACTGTAGAAAGCTTGAGAAGGAGGATTTGGGATTCCTTGTTCAAAAATCACAAAATGCTACATTCCAAGCTCATTAGGTAATAAGGAAGATGAATGGAATGTTAGCATTTATTTCAAAGGGAATTCACAATAAAAATAAGGAGGTTTTGCTTTACAAGGCACTAGCCAGATCAAAGGTGGAATACATGAACAATTTTGGTCCCCTTATCAGAGGAACTATCCACTGGCATTGGAGGATGTTCACTGAAGATTGATACCAAGTATGGAGGGCTGTCCTATGAGGACAGATTGAGTAGGTTAGGCCTGTACTCATTGGAATATAGAAGAATGAGAGGTGACTTCGTTAAAACATACAAGATTCAGACAGAACTTGACAGGGTAGACAAAAAAAGAGTCTAGGACCACAGGGCATAATTTAGATTAAGGGGTCTCACTTTTAAGATAAAGGAAGAGGATTGTTTTCTCTCAAAGCATATTGAATCTATGGAACTCCTTACCACAGACAGTTGTAGGGTTGGATAGTTAAGTACATTCAAGACTGAGATAGGCAGATATTTAATAATCAAGGGAATCAAGGACAATGGAGAAAAGGCAGGAAACTGGAGTTGAAGATTATCAGATCAGCCATGAAGGGTGGAATGGGCTGAATGGCCTACTTCTGCTCCTACATTTTATAGTTTATCTTTAGTGCATTTGACATATTGCTTATAACTCCATAAAAAGAGAAAAGTTACAAATATATATATTTTCTTAGCTTCAAATAAAGAATACACATTTTTGTTTCAGCAATTCTGCTGTATGATTCATACATTCACATCAAATAGAAGAATGTAACAACTGAGAGGTTAAATGTTTACATGCTTTCCAACTGAAAATTTACATAAGTCTTAACAAGATTGAGGCAGATATCATTCTAGTACTGAAATGGACAACATAAGAAATTATTGAATGGCTTTTCGTAGATTCTTCCTGTGCTTATAAACATCTCACAATGCTCAAATATTTTTTGAATAGTTCAGTCTAGAACTTTCACAAATTGCTGCTATTTTCAGTAAGCACAGAGCAGCTACACTGGTTGAGGAACAGAAATTTAATGCCATTTACATTAATTTTCTCAAGGAACTTCCAACATTTTCACCTTACTGTAACAGTTCCTCTTTCTTTAGTGTGTGTTAACCTGTTCTGAATGCTCATACACAAAAAAGCATTTCAAATGATAACAACAACAATTTTCCTGGATAACGCGTGTGTGGGAAACGAACAAACTAAGCCTGATATTAGTATTGCTTATTAAAATAGTCCAGCTGCTTATCAAACATTGGACTACCCACTGTGCCAAAACTTAGGGGTGGAAAGGAAGTGCAACTACGGTGTTCAATTATAGATATTTGTGGGATTAACCCAATCATGGCTTCTGAGCTTCTGGTTCAAGATCTAAAATCACAATAGATTCTGAAGAAATAGGAGGCCACATGCATTTCAACTACTTTCATAATAATAACTGACTGTCTGAATATCTCTAATATGCCATAATTTCCAAGAATAAAGTTCCCACCAGCTTTTGAACACATAACTGGAAATAGTACTCCTCTGTGCACAATCACAGAAAATTAAATCTGACCCCAAGGAATTCTCTCCCATTATGCAAAAAAACACTTGACTTGCCCTGCCTCCCATGGGAAGCTCTGAAAATATTGGCGCGGCAACGAGGAGTTGGAATTAGCATTTTCCCAAAATTGTGAGCTCATACCAGCTGAAGAGCCACTGTGCAGGGGTGTTTCCTTTCTGAATTTCTGACAGTCATCAGCTGATCGTGGTTGATTCATATTTGTTGACCTACAAAAATAAAATAATACCTTTATTCTTAAAAATACTCAAATGAGAGTTTTCAGAGAGACAAATATTGGAGCTTTGGTGTGGAAAATTTGCATGCCTGCAGAATGTATGTCATATTATTTTTGGAAACCAGTGAATCTTCTACTCTATTTTTCATTATGAATTCTAGATAACAATTTTAAATTTGAGTACCAATCCATGATACTGAAGCAGGAATGCATTGCTTCACAAAATAAAACTGGAACAAAATTTGTAAAATCCCTACTGAGGCATAAATAGATGTTGTATTGAAAATAAAATAAAATAAATCAAAACTCCCTAGCGGCATCAGAAAATTATGGTTTTGATGTTCCAATAGCCAGATAACCATTTCTGCAGTGTAGATGAGAATTATGCATTTGTACCCTGCAGAATCCCCATTGCAGCACACTCCGAGGGAATTGCCTGGGAAATTGAAGATTCCACTGTGCAATTCCCCTGCACTTGGACATTCTGAAAATACCTTTTTGAATTGGAAAATTCAGAGGGTTCTGCTCAAGTTAAATAAATTGTAACTCAGGAAAAATTAGATTATTAAATAACTAGACTAACTCCAGAGTACCTATTCAACAGGCCTCCAAATGACTTCATACACCCCCAACCACAACTTCCCCCAAACGCTTCATACCCTTTGGACCCTGACCTGACAAACTCGCTTCAAAACTGAGGATCCCATACACCCTCTCCTCCCAGACACACGCACCTTCCTGCCACCAGACCCAGCACCAGTATCCATACCTAGCTGCCCCATTCCATACTCTGTAGCTCTCCACCTCACCCAGCCCCCATCGTGGAACCTAGCAATACCTTTCCCTATCCCAATTCCCCTCTGCCAATAGACCCAAAATCTCCCATCACCATCACCATCACCGCAACATGCATTAAACACTCCATTTATCTGGAGTGGCCACATTTATGTCCTGGCATCTTACCCACTATGCACAGCAACCTATCTACCCGCCATGCTTCTCCTGTACCCGCCATGCTTCTCCTGTACACCCTGCACCCACTTGGCATCCTACTGTGGTCACACAACTATGGGCCCAAACCTGGACATTCTATATTGACCCACAGGCAGAGAAATCAGGCTTGATAGAAAATTGGCCAAATTCTAGCTTCCAGCATCTGCAGTCCTTTCTGTCTCTAAATTAAACAGCAGCCAGCAGCTATTGGTTGCAGAGAACAGTGGAAACCAAGTTCAAAGAAATCACAAAGGTTTGGAGGGAAGTTGGTTATAACCATCCAAAGGGCCATGTATCGAAGAAGTGTCACCCTGACTGCCTGAGTTTATGTACTTTTAAACCTTCCTGGCATGGCAGCAGTAAAGGGTGTAGTTTTCACCCGCTGGATGATTCAAATCCGGCTCACAACCCCATTGGCCAAAAGCCACATAACATTCTGGAAGTTCAGCGGTGAAGTGGGGATAAGCACACACATGGACACAACCCCTCCAGTGAAGAATCAGCAAAGACTCAAGAAGGAGGATTCACAGCAAGACTTATGGCAGAAGCATATGTTGCAATCCAGGAGAAGATCTGCCCTGACCTGTGAGACCCACCTTCATGGACACAGCCAGCCCTACATCAGAGAGGAAGGAGATTCCAACGGTGCAGCTCAAACACATGGATCGTTGTGGGTAATAACCTTTGTCAGTTGGATAGAGCTAGATAGAGAGTAAATATTGTGGGAATTTGGGAAATGCTCAGATGGTGTTTTAATAAGGAATATTTTGTCAATAAAACAGAGTTGAACCCCAAACTGAATTCTGTCTCTTTGTCCAACAACCAGTCAAAGTGTCCAAAGCACGGCCAGCATACTTACCTGGAATCCTACCCCTACTGAGATAGCACTTCACCTCCTTGCCACTTGGCATCTTACCCTAGCTAACACCCGAACCTCACACTTAACTTACAAATTTACCCTTTCACAACAGGCTATAAAAGATAAAAACCAAAAGAACTGCGGATGCTGTAAATCAGGAACAAAAACAAAGTTGCTGGAAAAGCTCAGCAGGTCTGGCAGCATCTGTGAAGGAGAAAACAGAGTTAACGTTTCGGGTCCGGTGACCCATCCTCAGAAAGTTCTGAGGAAGGGTCACCGGACCTGAAACGCTAAGGCTATAAAAGTTGTCATCTATGATACTGAGCCTTCAGATTACAGAATATAGTAACATCGTTGTGAAAAATTGAGTAGTTTACCTTCCACGGACTGTGCTACTGTATGGGGTACCTCTCAGAATGAATGTGTGGCCCCATATTTCTGAAACAGCCCTGATCAGAATCTCCAGTCAGAAATGTGGAGCTCATTCATTTCATAACAAAGTAGGCACAGAGTGCATTCTGTGAGCGATTGTCACTCCTCAGAAAATCCAGCCTTAAGTGCTTTCTTAGTTATGTTTAAAAACGGTAAATATTCAATGCAGGATACAGAAGGAATCCGCCAATGTAGGAGTCTACAGAGAGATCTGCAAAGAGGATCAGTGTGGATCACATGCCTGCTTTCTACAATATCAGCTACTGTATTTGGGTAAAAACCAAAAGAACTGCGGATGCTGTAAATCAGGAACAAAAACAAAGTTGCTGGAAAAGCTCAGCAGGTCTGGCAGCATCTGTGAAGGAGAAAACAGAGTTAACGTTTCGGGTCCGGTGACCCTTCCTCAGAACTGATGGTGGCTGGGAAAACGTCAGTTTATATGCAGAAAATAGGGAGGTGGGTGGGGTAGGGAGTAAACAATAGGATAGAGCCCGAAGTGAGAGAAAAACAGTTGGACAGACAAAGGAATTGCTAACGATCAGGCTGAGAGGGTGAATAGTTGTTAATGGGAACTGTTAGTGACTAACAACAGGGGGTGGGTAGGCAGGCTATGTGGTAACAAAGCCTGGTGTGTGGGGTGGGGGGCTGGGACACGGGAGAGTTTAGGCCCTATAATTATTGAACTCAATATTGAGTCCGGAGAGCTGTAGGGTCCCCAAGTGGTAAATGAGGTGTTGTTCCTCCAGCTTGTGTTGAGCTTGGCTGGAACACTGTAGCAAGCCAGAGACAGAGATGTTGGCCAGGGAGCAGGTGTTGCGTTGAAGTGGCAGGCAATGGGTATTTCAGGGTCTTTTTTGCAAGTAGAATGTAGATGTGTATTTGGGTAACTACTTAAAGGCTCCAAAAGCTTTTCAATGTGCTAATGAATGAGACTGTGTGAGTGAATAGATAGGTGTGTGGCGTGGGCAGGTAGGGGATAATTAATTGAATAATCAGAGGGGTCAGGGTAGTTAAGTGGATGGAGCAGATAGTCAGGTTGGGTCAGGGATCTGGTTTTGGTCGGGAGGGACAGTTGGATTGTCAGACGATAGTTGGAAGGGTGGACTGTCGCCATGGAATTTGGGCACGTGGCAGGGAGTCAGTTGTGATGTTACCCAGGCATTAGACAAGGTTTTAAATCATCTGACATTTCTAAGTAACTATTTCCTTTACAACCAGGGGAAATTGCATAGAAGTGTGGTGGGTAGCAGAGGAATTGTCCGTTGGAAGTTTTAAAAAGATTCAATTATACACTCTCTTTTATAAGCTGTTGAATTTCACAGCCATCAGAAAATTTGGCAGCTCAAGGAAGATGAGGACAAGAGAGGGGAGTAAAGGAAATATCCCCTGAAGTGTTGGTATTAGACCAGGAGCAACAAGACTGTTCCCCACCTCATCCTGCTGTTACCCATTTCCCTGCTATTGGCATACCCTCCCCCTAAAGAATCTGCAGAGAGTAGAGACTGGATGGTCACAGGACTGGGCCACTCCCTAGAATTGGAGCTTTGAACCTCAACCAAGGTCAAGGGGTGAAATCCACATGGCACATTCCCACTAGCAGTTTTCTTTTTGCTCCTGCATTCTCTTTTATATCGTATTCCCCAGCGTTGACCTTGGATTAACCATGCTAACCCAATTCCCCAAGACTCACACACCACTTTTTAAATAGCAACATCGTAAAATATTTTAAAGATATATAAAATTACATTTAAACAATACCTTTAATAAAATTTTAATAAACTATATAGAAGATCATATAAAAGTTAAGTAATACCTCAGAAATGTCACAAATGTTTCATGAAACTTATCTTGCAGTTTAAATCCTGATGCTGTCTGCTCCTGCCCATAAGGGACATTTCTGGCATCTCCAGCATCATGGGGCACAGATTTACTTCCCTACGCTGAGTTAAATCCCACTTGGTTTTCTGCATTGGATGCTTTAGGGAGCAACTTGCACCAAAAGAATGGCTGTTTAATACACGACAGATAAGTGGGTAGATGTTCCTTCAAAAGGAACATAAGACTATAAGAGAAGTTGCTGGAAAAGCTCACCTTTGAACAGCACAGTGGCTCGGTGATTAGCACTGCTGCCTCACATGCCAGGGACCCGGGTTCGATTCCAGCCTCAGGCAACTGTCTGTGTGGAGTTTGCACATTCTCTCCATGTCTACGTGGGTTTTCTCTGGATGCTCCGGTTTCCTCCCACAGCCCAAAAATGTGTAGGCTAGGTGGATTGGCCATGCTAAATTTCCCATAGTGTTCAGCGATGTGGAGATTAGGGGGATGGGTCTGGGTGGGATGCTCCGAGGTTCAGTGTGGACTTGTTGGACCGAAAGGCCTGTTTCCACACTGTAGGGATTCTATCATTGAAGGGTCACCGAACCCATAATGTAAACACTGATTTTTCTTCACAGATGCTGCCAGACCTGCTGAGCTTTTCCAGCAACTTCTGTTTTTGCTCCTGATTTACAGCATTCGTAGTTCTTTCAGTGTTTATACAAGCAGGAGCCTCTGAGTGATGAAATTTCTCCTCTTCTCGATCTTAAATAGCTTGACCCCTGTCCTGGGATTATATCCCCTTATTCTAGAGTCACTAGCAAGGGGAAATACCCTATCTGTACGCAAACATTTTCTGCCAATGTAAGAACTTTGTAAGTTTCAAAGAAATC